AGCGAAACTCCGTCTCAAAAAAAAAAAAAAAAAAAACACTGCCAACCTGTTGGGAGTCACGGTGGCACAGGCCAGTTGTCCTGGCACATGAGGAGCTGAGGCTACACGTTTGAGGCTAGCCTGGACAACACAGAAACCTCTCATCCATTAAAAAAAAAAAATTGGCTGGGTGTGGTGGCTCACACCTATAATCCCAGCACTTTGGGAGGCTGAGGTGAGTGGATCACAAGGTCAGGAGTTTGAGACCAGCTTGGCCAAGATGATAAAACCCTATCTCTACTAAAAATACAAATATCAGCTGGATGCAGTGGCGGGTGCTTGTAATCCCAGCTACTCCAGAGGCTGAGGCAAGACAATTGCTTGAACCTGGGAGGTGGAGGTTGCAGTGAGCCGAGATTGCGCCACTGCACTCTAGCCTGAGCGATAGAGCGAGAAAAAAGAAGAAAAATGCCAAGCTTTATTTAATTGTGCTGATTTCATTCACATTTATTCTTAATTTTCTTTATGTTAGTCTTGTAACTCTTTTATTTTTTTTTGAGGTGGAGTTTCGCTCTTGTTACCCAGGCTGGAGTGCAGTGGCTCAATCTCAGCTCACTGCAACCTCTGCCTCCTGGGTTCAAGCAATTCTTCTGTCTCAGCCTCCTGAGTAGCTGGGACTACAGGCATGCACCACCTTGCCCAGCTAATTTTTATATTTTTAGTAGAGATGGGTTTCACCATGTTGACCAGGATGGTCTCGATCTCTTGACCTCGTGATCCACCAGCCTCGGCCTCCCAAAGTGCTGGGATTACAGGCGTGAGCCACTGCGCCCGGCCAAGTCTTGTAACTCTTGAAGTAAATCTTCATTATTAAACAGTGAAATGGGCAGGATTTAAAAAATATCTCATTTAAATCAGTGTTCTTGTTTTCTAGTTTATTACTACAAAGCTGGGAGTTTCGGGTCATGTGCATAGATTAATGGCTGGATCCATGGCAGGTAAGAGGTGTTAGGTATATTTTATTTCTGACAAATTAATTTTGTATTAAAATACTTGATTTGGTTTAGGCTATATGTGTGGCATTAGGGAAAGCACAGGTTGCAGGTGTCCTGTGACTTGTAATTTTTTTTCCTGTGTGCATCCTCAAAGAAAAGATGTATTTAAAAAAAAAGTGTGACATTGATTTAGTAGCACACATTTGTTGTTTTTCTATACTCAGTTGTATATGAAATCATTAGTACCCCAACTGGAAAAGAGTCTTTTTATAGTAGAGGATGCGGAATAGTCTCAACTTAAAACTGTGTGAAAAGCTTGCGTTCTCTTTGACAATTCTAATTTTGGAAATTTTTAAAAATTGAAGAAACGTTTTTGAAGGCTAGTCATGTAACACAGTGGGAGTGGAGAAAAACAAAGAAACCCGTAACCTACTGTGATCCATGAGTTGTTTTTTTTTTTTTTTT